CTCGGAGCGGGGTGGGATGATGATGATGCTGCTGCTGCTGTTGCTGATGCTGCTGCTGCTGCTGATGATTTTGATGATGATGATGATGATGATGATGATGATGATGATGATGCTGATGATGATGATGATGATGATGATGATGCTGATGCTGAGGGGGAGAATACGGATCGGGCAGCAGAGGGGAGAATGGGGAGATGGGCAAGTATAGGGGGGATAAGATGACGACGGGGGGACACGGAGGAGGAGGGGGGCGGGAAAGAGGTACGATGAGGAGGAGAGCTTGAGGGTGTAGGTGAAAGCACAGAAGAGGAACGCATGCATCTGCACAGTCCCGCCTGCGGCACGCACCTGCTAAGCTTTGGCGCGAAGGAGGAGGAGGAGGAGGAGCAGGATGAGGAGGAGGAGGCGGAGGAGGAGGAGGCGGCGGAGGAGGAGGAGCAGGAGGAGGAGGAGGAGGAGGAGGAGGAGGAGCAGGAGGAGGAGGAGAGAGGAGGAGAGGAGGAGGAGAGGAGGGGAGGGGAGGAGGAGGAGAGGAGGAGGAGGAGGAGGGAGGAGGAGGAGGACGGGGAGGAGGAGGAGCCGCGCGGAGCTTCGCGCGCAGAACTGTGGGGCCAAGCAACGCCGAAGCCAAAGCCATGGCCAGAACACCGAACGCGGCCGAGCCGGGCCGAATCTGAGCCGCGCGGGCCCTCGCGGAGGGCAGCGGCGCGGAGGCTGGGCGCGACAGGGCCGAGGCCGATGCCGCGGCGGAAGCCGAAGGCTGAAGCTGCGCTGGGCAGGGCGAGCCCCTCTCACGTGGGAGACGTGGCGCATCTGGAGCACGTGGCAGGGCAGGTGCAGGAGCACGTGCGCACGTGGCAGGGCAGGTACAGGTGGAGCACGTGGCGCATCTGGAGCACGTGCCTGGCACGCGGCTGACGCAGGTGGACGTGGCTGGGGCTTCTCTGCGCCAGGGCGCGGCTGACGCTACTCTGCGCCAGGGCAGGTGGGAGGGCATGGGGAGTGGCAACGATACGGGGGGATTTTTTCCCAACCATCCTGTGGTGTTGGGTCCTCGTTTTGAAGAGACAGCGCCCCGCGTTCCTCACTCCCTCCCTCCCTCCTCCTCCCCCTCCTCCCCCTCCTTCCTCCTCCCTGCGTTTCACCCACCCAGTACAACCGAAACATCAACATTTGCATTTTCACCCACCTAGTACGACGTTTCGTGGCCCCATAGGGAGCTCCACCGAATGCCCCAGTGCCACCGTCCGCACGCGTCCCGAAACATCCAATTTTGTATTTTCACCCACCCAGTATAGCGCTTCATGGCCCCATAGGGAGCTCCACCGAAGGCCCCAGTGCCACCGTCCGCATGCGCCCCGAAGCATCAAATTTGGTATTTTCACCCACCCAGTACAGCGCTTCGTGGCCCCATGGGGAGCTCCACCGAAGTCCCCAGTGCCACCGTCCGCATGCGTCCCGAAACATCAACTGTAACATTTTCACATACCCAGTGCAGCGTTCGTGGTCCCATAGGGAGCCCCACCGAAGGCCCCAGCGCCACCGTCCGCACGCGTCCCGAAACATCCAATTTGGCAATTTCACCCACCCAGTACAGCGTTTCGTGACCCCATAGGGAGCTCCACCGAAGGCCCCAATGCCACCGTCCGCATGCGCCCCGAAACATCCAATTTGCCATTTTCCTCACCCGCCACAGCGTTTCGTGGCCCCATCGGGAGCTTCACCGAAGGCCCCAGTGCCACCGTCCGCATGCGTCCCGAAACATCCAATTTTGCATTTTCGCCCACCCAGTGCGGCGTTTCAGGGCACCATAGGAAGCTCCACCGAAGGCTCCACTGCCACCGTCCGCATGCGCCCCGGAACATCAAATTTGGCAATTTGCCCACCCAGTACAGCGTTTCGTGGTCCCATGGGGAGCTCCACCGAAGGCCCCAGTACCACCGCCCGCAAGCGCCCCGAAACATCCAATTTTGCATTTTCGCCCACCCAGTGCAGCGTTTCGTGGCCCCATAGGGAGCTCCACCGAAGGCCCCAAAGCTACCGTCCTTATGCGCCCCGAAACATCAAATTTGGAAGAGGGCAAAGTTACCAGAACCAGAAGTATCCCAAGAACGAAGTCCACCGGATTTGGTAATCAAACAGACACTGATATTACGGATGTTGACGAACAGCTGCATCAGGACTGCCCTCCCCCTCCCCCTCCCCTTCCCCCTCCCCCTCCCAGCAACGACACGACTGCAATCAAAGTGGCGTCATGGAACGTTCGAGGACTTACTGATACGAAAACTATTGAAATTATATCGCATATGGACAAGCGTGGCATTGGCATTTTAGCTCTACAAGAAACCCGCCGCGCAAAAGCAGAAGTTTACGAGGTCGACGGGTACAAGATTATCCTGTCCGGCGAAGACACAAATGAGCGTACTTGGACAGGCGTTGGATACATCATTTCACCAGCAAGCCGACGAAGAGTCAAAGCATATAAACAAATATCAGGCAGGATGGCTTGGCTAAAGATCAGAACTGGCATGGGGGCGCTGGCCATTATCACCGGATACGCGCCTCACAACCTCAAGCCGCTCCATGAAAGACGCGATTTCTACACAGCGTTGGATTCGACATACTGGTCGTGCAATGCCGCCGCTGGCAAACTCATCATTGGCGACTTCAACGCCAGAGTGGGGAAATCCGATCCAGGATAAGACGCTGTTTTGGGAGAGTTTGGATGGGGACGTCGCGCACAGCAGCCGAACTGGGATCTGATGATGGAGTTCTGCACGAGTGGTGACCTACAAATTGTAAATACATTTATATCGCAGCCATTGGAAGAAAAAGTCACGTTCATGGAAGCGGGTGCCCTGCCAATGGGGGACATAGCAGAAGACAGCTACAACATTTTGGACTTACTCTTATGTGACGCACATTTGCGGCATCAAGTCGTTGCGCTACGAAGTCATCGGGAAGCGGCCCTGGCCACAGACCATTATTTGGTTGTGGCAGACATGGCTATACAGTCTTCCATACAGAAACCGCGGGAAACGGGACGGCCGAACAGAAATGGCATGCAAGACCCACGAGTACTGCAGGCATACGTAAGCAAATTTATGGGAACAATTTCATCGTTTCCTGGGCCGCCGGCTGATATTCAAGACATGTGGGAAAGAGGAAAAACAGCAACGCAAACTGCTGCCAGCGCGCTCCCGACGCGCCAGGAGGAGAGCATCAAGCCATGGATTACACAACGCACTCTTGATCTAATTCGCCGCCGTACCGAGGCCCGAGTGGCCAACGACATAACCGAGGAGAGAAGATTGATGAAAGCGGTGCGCAACGCGTGCAAGCAAGATAAAACAGTTTGGGTTGATGAACAAATTTCGACAAGCAGCTGGGACGCTCTGAAAAAGCATTGCCGGCCTAAGCCACGACGCCAAGGAAGGCTAAGAAATATGAGTGGGGAGTTAGTGGACAACACACAAAGAGCAGAGACAATGGCTGAGTACCTAGAGAAAGTGCAGTGGAAAGTACGGACAGCAGAGCTTCTAGACGTCTCACCTGGAGATCCATTGCCGGTTTCGGAAGCAGACTTTACGAAAGAGGAGGTTGGCAAAGCAATCAAGCAGCTCAAACATGGCAAAGCATCTGGTGTTGACGATATCCCAGCAGAGTACTGGAAGGCTATTGCTACAGACCCAGGCGGACTGGAGTGGATTACAGACCTGTGAAACAAATGTTGGAACGAGGAGGCCGTGCCGGACGATTGGAAGAAATCGATTATCTCAACGATATATAAAACAAAGGGGCCGTCGACAACTGCGACAACTACCGCCCTATCAGCCTACTCTGCGCCGCGTACAAGCTCATAGCTAGTCTTATTCTTCGGCGTCTACAAAACGCAGGGGCAGAGGACAAATTATCGCCAACGCAGTTTGGTTTCCGACGAGAGCGCGGGACATCGGATGCTATACACGCTGTTCGCCGGTATATTGATTTGGCTTACGCAGACAAACAAGGAGGTATTGCATTTGTCGCTTTGGATTGGAAGAAAGCCTTCGACTCGTTGAACGTCGAGGCGCTGCTGGAAGCTTTGCACAAATTTGGAGTCCCTCGGCGCGTCCTTACAATTATTGGCCACATCTACGAGGGCAGAAAATTCAGCGTGGCGGATGGACGACACCGGTCATCAGAACGACAGCAATTATCTGGGATATCACAAGGTTGCCCACTTTCGCCGTTCTTATTCATTATGGTAATGACGATGGTACTGCGGAGCGCCACACACCACGGAGACGCGGAAGTACGACGAGCTGTAGCAGACGGGTCCTTGAGTATATTGTTGCACGCGGATGACACCTTGCTCGTGGGTCGCAATCCACACCATCTACAAAGTCTGTTAGGCGCGATTTCTAAAGCATGTGCACGAGTTGGCATGGAACTACATTGGGATAAATTTCAACTCATGCCGGTTCGTTGCGACATGTCGCTCTTGACGCCCTCTGGCGAGCAAATCCCAGCAAAAGACACAATGGTCTACCTCGGGGCCACGCTTTCAAACTCTGGCCAGCTGCGCGGGGAGTTGGGAAAGAGGTTAGGAGCCGCATGGGGTGAGTTCTGCAGACGCAGCCGCGCCTGGAAGCATGCGGCAATCAGTACTACCAGAAAGCGTCAAGTATTTCAAGCGCTGGTGACTAATAAGGTCATGTATTCGCTGAATTCGGCATGGCTCAACAAAGCTGAACGCAGAAGACTGGACGGTTTCCAAGCGAGGTGCCTACGTCGAATCCTGCACATTCCTCACGCATACATTTCAAGAGTATCTAACGAACAAGTGCTCTTGCAAGCAGGCCAACAGCGCTACACAGTGCAACTTCTGAGGCATCAGCTGTTGTGGTATGGGAAAGTATTCAGGGCGACAGACTTTGATTTTCTGCGCCGCCTCACCTTCCAACCCAGAAGCGCGCGGCCAGCTACAGACGCATGTGCCCGAGCACGAGGCCGGCCAA